CTGGCTCCACAGCCGCTCCATCCAGGGGACCCGGGCCAGGAGAGACCTGCTGGCCACGGCACTGGGAGGAGGAGGCGCTGGGCTGGGAGTCCTCAACAGCATGAACGTTGAGGTCTTGGCCAACAAGTTGGAGGCTGTCACCTCGGGCATGCAGGGCCTCCTCAACCCCCTGAATTCATCCCTGGCCAGCCTTGGGATGGGGCAGTGGCTCGTGTCAGAGGTGTTGCCCACCTGGGAACAAATAAGTGAGAAAGACCATCAGGTGTTGTTGCGAGCACTGGGCATCGAACAAAATAACGTCTCTCTTGCTCTTAGTTGCATCCAGGCCCAGATGTGGGTGCAGAGTGTCGTTGCAGGTATCCTGAGAGACGGCGACAACGGCGTCCTCCCCACTGAGATCCGAAAGATTGTGTGGGACGCGGCCACAGAGAAGGAGCGGCAGCTCCAAGCCTGGTGGAGGCTCGTCAACTTCACTCACGACCAGGTCCTCAACGCAGTCATCGCCCACGTCCTGACCGTGGCAGAGGCCCGCATCGAAAAGGTCTACCCCATCGTGGCCCTGGGGGTTAACACGAACGGGTCCGTGGTCTACCCCCTGGACCACCGCATGTGGGCAAGGGTGTCTGATGGGAAATGGCAATCGGTAGATTTGGAAGCCTGCATTTTGGAAAGGGGGCTGGGATTCATATGCGAAGATGATGCCCTTAAGGCGAGTGATGTTTGCTTTGACACCAAAGAAGGGGTATGTCATTTTGAGATCAATCCCCAGAGCAGTAATAAAACCGTGTTAGCGTATGTAGGGAAAGGGTGCGTGTGTTTTAGAACGATGTGTAAATACGTGCAAATTAATGAAGTTTATAATCAGACCGTGTTTAATGACTCGAATATGTGTGCTTGCAATGTAGCTATTATTAGAGGCTGGGGTTTTGTGTATAAACCGAAAAAATTTTATAAGACCCCGCCCTGTGTTTACAGCCAGTTGCTAATCAGAAACTATACCTTGTATCGTAGTATAACCCCGACCCCCATCGGTATGGATTTGTCACTTGTAAAAGAAATGTTAGAGCATGCAAATTTACAGCAGCTGTTAGAAAATGCTAAAGCAGAAGCTAAAAAGATCCTAATAACTGTACATCATGATGGTAATGTTATAAAACAGGTAATGGAACGAATTAAGAGGGTGGGAGACCACCACTGGTGGGAAATTTTTTTCGGCTGGTCCCCCACGGCCACCGGCATCTTCAACATGCTGCTGCACCCCATTGTAGTTATACTGCTAACGCAAATCTGCGTGTCCTTTGCCATGGTAGCGACTTGTTATTGGATGAGGCAGATGAAGCTCTGCATTGACAACCAGGTGAAAGGACTGGGGCTGGCCAAGCGCCTCCTACCATAGTCAAGGGCAAGACTGGGTTGGCCTCTGTGTTTGCCACCAAGAAGAACTTCTAGCTCCGCTGTTGGCTGCAACCCAGTAGGCGTTGAGCGGTGGGGACACACGCCATACCAGACCTTGATGTGAGGGATGGCCTCCTCTGTTATAAGAGGGCCATCCAGGAGGGGAGGGCAGGCCAAGCAGCCTGCGGTTGGCATGAATCACAGAATGGTTGAGGTTGGAAGGGACCTCTTGAGACGATCTAGTCTACCCCCACCCCACCCGGCTTAAGCAGGGTCACCTAGAGCAGATTGCCCAGGACTGTGTTCAGCTGGGTTTTGACTATCTCCACAGATGGAGACTCTACAACCTCTCTGGGCAAATCTGTTCCAGTGTTTGACCACCCTCACAGTAAAAAAGCAAGAGTTAGCATAAGTAACTTGTCTTTGAACCTCCCATCCCCAAATCCTAATGTGAAGAAGCTGCTCTTGTGTGATTTAAGACTCCTTAAGCAGAGCAGAAGGGGATAAGGAAAGCCAAGGACAGTGTCTTTGGAAGGAAAGAGAAGTCAACGTAATGCCTGAGCGTGGAAAACCACCCACTGAAGATGGCAGAGGTGTTACCAGCCTCCAAGACTTGGAAGGACGATAAAAGACGAGCAGAATGAAAGACCCTGTAATCACCTTGAACTTAAAGGAGCTGAATCCACATGGACCTTTGCAGCAACTATCTCCGGGTTCCTGAGACTCCCAGGACGTCTGGCCAACGGATTGGTGAGATCTTCTTATTGGAGCCTGGACATCACCGCTTTGCTTTGCCGAGTTGTGCATGTACTCAATAAAATTTGTCTGTTAGAGGATGGACTGTCTATTCAATCGCTGCCTGCTCAGCTGATCACTACCCAGGCTTGTAACTTTGGCTACACTGGTAAAAAGAAATTCTGGTAAAAAGAAAAGATGTGTGGTTTTTTTCCCTTTTATAGGCCAAAATCCCTCACTTGCTTTTTGTTTGCGGAATATTCACTGAAACACAAAGATTCCTGCCTTGGGCTGAAGAGTGGGGCTCTGAGCTGATGCACAAACCCGCTCCCCTCTTTCATTCTGCCTCTCCCAACCTGTATCACTCCCCTGCCTCTGAATTCAGAAGGAGCCTTAAAATATACATAGGGGGTCTCAAACAATTTAAAAACATTGGCAATTTCAAAAACTAGATTAACCACCTCATTTCCAGCCCATGTGTCTGATCTCATTCGGAGGTGCTGCTCTCTCTGAGAATGGTGGGGGGGGTTAACGCAGACAAAAAGCCCTTTGCAATCCAGGCTGAAATAAAAAGACTAAAGAACTGGCCTTTAACCCAGCAGGCAACTGCTGGGCTAGCTCGAGAAATGAGTTTAAAACCCCACTTTTCACAAACACGGGGCTGAGAAGCACAAAGAAACAGCATATTGCCACAGCATACTTTTTTTAAAGAAAAGTGAAACTTCAATATATGGGTTTGATAAAGACCCTTCTCCTTAAGAAGCACACATTATAACTGAGCTCATGAAAATGTGAATAAATAAGTCACTGTCTAAAAACACAGAAATCCTTTTTCCCCCCTCCAAGCACCATGAAAACACCTCCTTCACCCTTGGGACGGGAGGTTGAACTCTCCCCCCCAGCCCTCCAACCTGCCTGGGAAAGGGCCGGTGCCGGGTCCCCTCTATGCTCTGCTGCTCCCCCCCATCTTACCCATAACAAAGCCTCACAAAAACCACCCGGTTATTTTGGTTAAAGCACCTTTCTTGCTAACACCTTAAATGTTTCATGAGAATTAATTTCCCTGTGAATAATTACCCTTTTACACAAAGCCCCTCTAACCCGTTTTGGGAGCCTGTAGGGGAAAAAGGAACCACAGAAAATTCACATTATCCGCTCTTCAGTCCCAAACTTGCACTGGGACAGTGTGGCACAGCAGGGGTTAGCCCCGGGATGCTGGTATAGCCACAGGGAAAGGGGTTCCTACATCTACACGCAGGTTTTAGCTGAATGCAGACCCCTGCACGGCCGCTGCATGCGGCAGCAGCATCCTCTGCAGCTGCAACGAGCTGCTGCCCTCTGCAGAGCCGGCACACGGTGCACGTAGGTTTGGTAAGTTTGCAAAACCATGAAGTTCCCCCCCATTTTAGTGTCATTTGTTTATCACCGCAAACCGAGGAGGGCTGTTTTCACGGAAGCAGCAGTATCGCTGCGGCTGCGATAGACTTCGGGTGCAGCCTGGGGGCAGGACCTTGAGCCAGAGTTTTTGTCTGCTTTTCCACTGGTTTCAGTAGATCCCATAAAAGATTTTACCCAAACTTGCCTGCTTTTCCCACCCAAATGGGTAATACAATCGTATTTATTCCCTGGTATTTTTGTTCCTGTCCTCTGCGCTCTGGAGCGGAGGGGAGTCTGCCTGTGCAGGGCATGCAAGCTGTGGCCCATGGAAACCCCCAACCCGTCTGCAACAGACCAGCTTTCCTCGGCTCCAGCTAGGTAGATCGAAGAGGCAGTTTTCAGAGCTAGCCCTGGCTGCCTCCGCTTTAGGCTGCGAAGATCGATGCGGGCAGATCACGCCCCACTGGTCTAGTCCTGTGACAGTAATTCAGATTAACTTTTGAAAAACTAGGGGCTAAGATGCTGCTGTGAAGCAGTTTTGACTGAAATGGAACAAGTGATGTAAAAATAAGCCTTGGTGGAACCCCAGACACGCTGGGGTCCTCTGGAGAGTCTAAAAAGAGCCCACAAGGGACAGGAAGGTACCAAACACGTAACTTAACCCAAGGAGCCTGTTCTCCACGCAGAGCACCTGCTTATCTCTGGATATGTCTCATGGAACTGCAGGGATACTTTATTATTTCTCTTGGGTACCTGGCGTGATGGACCTTTCCTGCTGCTGCAGAGGATCCTGCCAGTTTTGGGACATGCCCTGAAGCCACGTGGAGGTGCCACAGCAGGTCCTTGCTCCATGTGAGCAGACACAGAGAGTCTCTCTCTCCTCCGAAGCAAAGGTGAGAGGCTACGTGGAGGTATCCAGATCGTGACTGCATGGGACCACCTCCAGAGCCAGTCCTGGGGTAAAGACCTAATGGCTACCCTGAGCCTCTACATCCCACGTTGGCTCAAATCAAATGCAGAAGGAATTTGAGCCTGGGTTTTCCCCTGGCTAGGCTTGTACTTGAGCGTGTTGCTCAGAAAAAACTCAGACTTTAATTTCCCAGCCCCAAACAGGTTAACTTCGTTGTATGTTCATGAAAACATTCAAAAGAGCTTGGAATTTTTGGGGGGGTTCTGCCTCTGAAGCCCTGAAGACTGTCAAGGTTCATTTCGTACCTCCTCGGGCAGGGCCAGGCAGAAGCTGGCAGATTTCTGTCTGTCCGTCAGAGCTCTCTGTCGGAGCTGCCTCCCTAAACCCATCATCAGCATTTTGACCAACGTCACTCACCAGCGTGAACTTTGCCTTTCAGACTCAAGGCTTGGCCACGGCTCTCCTTTTTCTCCTCTTTCCCTCTCTCTCTTCCCTCTTCCCCACCTCTAACTTTTATCCCCTTCCTCCACCAGGTGCTTTCCACCTTCCTTAACACCAGTTTTCTTGCTTCTTGAGTGCGACTGTCACTCAGGATCGTCCTTCAGGACTCCCTGCTTTGAGCAGGACGTTGCAAAGCTCTCTCCTTCACCCAGCACCTACAAGGTGCCTGCACATTCACAGAGAGGGGATACATCTGGCTTAGAATCTCTCGGTGCTGATGTCCTTCAAGCCTCATGCATTTTGTATGCCACTGCGCATCAAAGGAATCCTATAAAAGCACAAGTAGTAGCAGGCAGATTCATACCCCGGAGGGTTCCATCTCAATACGGCACTGGACTGTCTGTTGCAGTGCTCTGGTTGTGACACCTCCATAAGATACCTTTATGGTTGAGAACAAACATTTTACTCCTATCAGGCCTGCTTAGTGGCTAGGCAAGCCGTCCCCCAGCTCCTTTTGCTCCCAAGCATTTTACTCCACCCCAGAGCACACCAGGTGATTCACAGAGAAGCTGGATACTAGCCCCAACTATTTCAATCTGTAAATTTACTGTAGACACGACCCGGTATAGCAGAGCAGTAAGGGAAGAGCGAGAAAGCCCCAGGGACAGAGTGATGCAATCGCAGGGCGGTAGCGCAGCGTGCTATATCCTGGCTGATCATGATGTATTATGTATGGGCAGGATGGAAGAGATGAGTTTTAGGAGGCGAGTGATGCAATCGCAGGGCGATGTAGCGCAGCGTGCTATATCCTGGCTGATCATGATGTATTATGTATGGGCAGGATGGAAGAAATGAGTTTTAGGAGGCGGAATAAAGAAGAGCATCAGGGCTCAGAGGCACAATGAGGAGAGTTGGTTTGAGAGCTAAAAAGCTGGGTAGCTCATCTGGGATGCGGGACAGATTCTGGCTTGTGTTGATTTTTTTCTGCTTTGTTAGAGTCCCAGAGAAATTCTGTGATGTGCCAGCACTCAGCATGAAGGGAGATGCTTGATTTATTCCTCACAGCAGACTCAGGAAGCGATCAGATATACATCAGCCTGGCTGAGAAGGGGTCATGAATAACTCAGTAGGGAGTTAGTTTACTCTTAGGAGCGGTGAAATGACTGAAGTTATATCCCGCAGAGGGAAATGCAGGGAATTCTTATGGGTTCACTCATTTTCTCGAAAAATAAAACACAATAGAAACAATTTCCAATTTTGAGAGAGATCTATCATTGGCACGACCGTTGAGTTTGGCAACGCTAACACAAGACAGTGTAATTAAGAATTAGGCCTTCTACAGCATGGGGCAATCAAAATGCCCTCATTCCTCCAGCTGCTCTCAGCAGTTTCGCCAGTGGATGAGAGTCACAGGTATCTGGAAAGAGAACAGAAAGACACGAGGTTACTTGCAATAGTGCAGGCTAGAAGATATGGGAAAAAACATCCCCCTGAAACTTTCAACTACATTTCCCTTTCTTCCCAGCATCTCTAGAAGTAATGCAAGGCTTTATTCCATCGAGAGGCATGGGAAGTTGGTGATATCTGCACGAGTGACAGTGGATATGCCATTTGACCTGATCTGAGAGAAGGAAGCAGCTGTAGGGCATAGCTCTACGAGGTGAGCGATGGTGTGAATTTACAGCGCATCAGCTGCTCCATGGAAACTGCTCTCTCCAGGGTTGTACGCAGGGTGTGCACAGAGTGACTTCTCCCTCGATCAAACTGAAGTACGTTACTCATACCGGTCCTGGGACAAGAGCACAAGTTTGGCTGGCAAATCCATGCCCTATTTTGTCTCCTGATAACTTGTTTGTGCAGCTGGACACAGATTTACAGGCCTGGCCCTCCCACCTCATCTGCCCAGATGGGCTCTGTCCCCTGTATGCCCATGGATGCTGCACTGGTCCATGCACGGTCACCAACAGTGTATGGATAAAAGTCACGGCTGGAGCCACCTGCATTGTATGTATCTCCCCCTTTCCACCCGTCAAAGAGATGAAGGCTTGTCCAGTATGATAATGATGATCTGGCTGATACCAGCACAGTAAGCACAGTAAGAAAGGAAAATGGGAGTAAAATTCCCTATCATTGGCAATATACAGTCAGTTCTTTAATACAACTCTTTGTTTAGCTTTTTCATGCAATTCCAGCAAATTATTCTAGTATCATCCTTCTAAATGCATTCAAAGGACACAGGCAGGCTTGCATGGCAATATTCTCTGCACTTAGTGTATTTTCTGTAAGACAAACGTGTTTTGACTGTGTATACAGGACTGACACAAATATTTTCAGAAACCCAGATATGGTCAGGCATTACTGGGGACAGAGGAGAGCAGCAAAGACAGACTCACCTCACTGTCAGAGCCAAGTGTTGTTCAGTGGGGAGAGAGACAAGCCCCCATGGCTTATGCAGCAACTGCTCCCAAGGGAGAGAGGGTAGACACCAACCTTTACAGATTCCCTGAGGAGGTAAACAAACAGTAAGTGCCATTAGATAGTTTAATGACTGCAGCATTTCCAGAGCCACCCTTAAATTGATTAAAGATCAGAAGTTTCAAACCTGGAGGCCTAACACAAGGCACCCAAATCTCTTTTTAGGCAGTTCATTGGACTGTCTTTGGTTTTTAGTGCTACTGAGCAGCAGGTAGTCAGCTGTTCTCGAAACTAAACCCCTTTTTGAGGTGCCTACAAGGGGATATAGATGCTTATTTATTAACAGTTTCAAGACTGCTTAGACAACACCAGCCTAGGCTTCCATTTGCTGATCTCCTCTGAAGTCTCTTGTATTTGTCAAATGCTACATGAGCACATTCTGAAGCATAAACACTACACCTCACTGCAGGGCTCCCATTGCATTATCCTTGCTCTCCATTAGCATGTTGCAGTAGTGCTACAAAGATGCCTGCTTGCCTGTGTTTGCCTAAGCAAACAGCATCAGAATACTCTATAAAACATTGCTAAAAAAAGAAAAAAACCAAAGACTTATTTGCCTCAACAGCACATCCACCAATGAACAAGAAAGTACTGTCACAACAGTGGTGTTATATCTGTCTTCACTTCCTTCATGCTTGTTCATAAACCTGACCGATAATCTTAACCCAGTTAGTTGCCAGGGCTAACACGGAGCAGTAAAATCATAATGAAAGATGACGTAGCTATGAGATGAGCGTTGGAGAGCGGATAAGGCTACACAGTGGAGGTCAAGATGGACGCCAGCTTGCGGGTATTGTCTCAGCCTCCTTTTCTTCACCAACTGGTGCTTCTTGCTGTTTTGAGCGTGGAGTGAAAAGATGAAAGGCAAGCTGTGTACTGGCGTACGTACTCCGCACCCAGTGAGCCCCTATTTGCAGCTGTGGGGCACGGAGCATGCTGGCTCTGCTCAGGCTGGGCGACACAACACCTTCACCACAGGCACAGCACCGGGGTCGGCACACCAGCACTCCTGAACGAGTGTGGCTGGTGTGTGCGGTCTGATTTCTTCATTTACTGAGCTAGAAAAAAGAAGAATAGAAAGAGATGTAAACAAACTGGAAGGCAGGCAGTGAAGCAGCTGGCATCACCTTCTCTGTCAGATTTGAGAGTTTTTCTTAAAACAAAGCCCCTTCCATACAATCCTCTCATTTTGAGGGCAATTCTAAAGAAACGAGTACATCTGTTTGCTTAGGCTGTGAGTACAGATACCCTCACAGAGTGACATGAAATAATTTAGCAGGGAAGAGACACTCATCCCAAGAGTTTTCAAAAAATATCACAGATCTGTAAGCGCTTGAACAGACACAAATGCCAGCAACGCTAACTGCTGACCATTCAGAGAGGGTCCCAAACTCCAGACTTCGTATCAAGTCTGATGGGGTAGGTTTTATGTCTGATGTTGCTTTGAGGATGCAACTCTGCTATCATGGTCTTGACTCCACATTGGCTTCCCAGGTATCCTCTTCCACCCTGAGCATGACAGCATGGAGCAGGGAAGGAGCTCACGTGTGAAGGAATTGCTGATGCACATTCAAATTTGAACGCTACACGCAATACAGGTGCAAAAGGTGCCTTCCCAAGGGGCCCTGAGGCCTCTGCATCACGGGCACCACTGACGTGAGCTACTTGGCCAAGGAACCTTGGTGCATGCACAGATGTTGTTGCTGAAGGCAAGCCCAGGTGCTGTCTGAGAGAAACCCATGTGAGCTGAGTGCGTCCTGCATGGTCCCTTGATCTGGACTTGCATGAAGCTACCGCACCAAAACTTCTATTGACCTCTAAGAAGTAGGCAAAAGAGCCAAATCTTGCAAGCTGCTGAGAAGTCTCACATTTCAGTGGTCACACAACACCTTGCCCGGGTGACTCATTTGACCAGACAGAGACACAACCGGTTTCCTGGTGTTGCAGCAACATGGGGAGTGCAAAGCAAGAGAGGGAGCTTTACTGGGGTGAAGCTGAGCAAGGCAGAGTGATTTTTTTTTTTTTTTAAGCACAAGAGAGAGATTTCAGAAAGGCTGAAGGCAGGGTAGGAAAGAACCGAGCTGATGCAGAAAGCCCCCACAGCTCCTCCCATCGTGCTCTCGAGGCACGGACTTCATTTGCACATGAAGTCAAATGAATGTAAGACCACAGACTTCAGAGTTTTGATTAACACTCAGAGAACCTGTATATATATCATAGTACTTCAATGTGTTATTAACCACTGACATGGGGGAGTGAAGAGAAATAGAAATCATCATTTCTGCTGACTACAAAAGGGAAGGTGTTGCCACTGTGGCTCAGAAATAGCATCAATAGAGACTGATATAATGCAGTTCCAAAAGAAACATTTTGAGGGAAAAAGCTTAGCTATGAGCAAGAGGTGTCATAGTCAATATATTTCTCATACACCACGATATTATCGGTAAGTGTGGTTCAGCCTGTGGAGCTTGAATTTATAATGCGGATGGTTTGGAAACACCTAGCACTTAGCTCTGGGGAAAACAACTTTAGTTCAACTGTTTGTTAGGGTAGTGCTCAGAACATTGCTGTGAAGAGTTTCACTGTTAATTCTAAGAAATCCTACTTCATTTTAAAAGTTTCTTTTAAATCTCCCCTCCCTCCCACACACAGAGATTTTCAGTTTTCCCCACAGCTGTGGGGGAAAAAAAAAAATACAATGTACCACTTCTTTCACATTCCCCCTATTGAGATTCTGGTTTTATTTCAAACTTTCATGTCCTAAGTAGAGAAATAGCAAGGACCTGAGCCTGTCAATGCAAGAAGAAAAGGTCTGTGACCTGAGGATCTGTGGTTTTGCCTGGTGTTGTTGAGTATCAATCCTACAACAAAGCCCAACTGTGATACAAGTTGCACGGTAGGCTCCTGCAGGTGTTCAAGACTTGTGGAAATGTCAGTCACTTGTGGAAACTGAGATTTACGCCTGTGCCCCAGTCTTACACCCTGGAGCAGGAGTGATTGCCAGTGCACACCTAGGAGCAAAGCTGGACGGGCAGTTTGCTGTAGCTCTCTGAAATCAAAACACAGTTTTCTTGAGGTTCAACAGGAATCAATGCCTAAACCTTTGCTCTGCCAAAAATAATTCGTCGAAATAGCACTTCATTGCTTTCAACTGTAAATCGAGCTCTTTGAAATAAAGGACAGTAGCTTATTTGGAGACGAGGAACACTGTTGCTCTTTTTCCAAAGCTTTCCCACAGAAAGATTTATGGCACTGTACCTATTTATGGTTTCCTATTTATTAATTTTTTGTGACCCATTTTTGCCATACCTGCATTCATCACCAGTTTAAGGGTATAGTCAAGAACCGCTACAGCCAGTCAGGGTTAAAAAGATACTGCGCCTAGCTGCTCACCACCTCACTCTGAAAATATAAGCAGGATAGGAAACAGGTACAGCTGGAAAGACACCAGCAGATCTGACAGGGCTGTCATCTCCTCCCTCAGGTCATTTCCACCAGTGGATGTGAAGAAGAACCAGAAGCTGTAATATGTTAAGGTTAAAAAAGCTGCAGCTGGAAGAGCTTGTCTGGCACCACATTCCTGGCAGTTGTAAATCACATGAGAAGCTTGTGGAAAGGCTGGAAAGAGAATCCGGATCTCCCAGTCCTCACGCTAGCGCTTTCATCTTGGTGTTCTGACTGATAAACACAGCCATTAAGCACACTGTCAGCTTCCGTGTTGTTGGATGGCAGTGCTGGCCAAGAGCTCTATGCTGAAAAAAGTAACAATTTAATTAAACTGTAATAGCCCTCTAACTAGCTCAAACAACAGTTTTACACTGTAATCTGATTCCACAGATACATGGTAAATTTGAGATGCAGCTCAAGGCGTTGCATTCAGCTGATTTACACTGATTTCAGCTGAATGCCTCTCAATCTTTATAGAAATAATGCTTGGACAAGTTAGCAGGTTAGATATGACGAGGATATGTCTCATAGGCCAACGGTAAGTTAACTTGCCAGGTGTTAGCGTTCCCAGTGTGCCTCACTGAAACCACAGCCTGAGTTCAGGGCATGCAAGGCGACTTCAGTGGTTCTCCCTTTTATCGCAAGATTTCAAATGAGAACCTTCCACTGTGAAAACACTTCTTGCTCACTTCACAGGACGCAGAAAGAGATGTCCTGTTTCAGTTGTGGCCTTTTTCAGACAGACCTCACACTAGGATCTCACTACAAATTTTTCAGATATCGCAGCCAGTCATGAAACCAAAGTATAAAAAGTCATAAAAAGGAAAACAAACTATAAAAAGTGACAGTATTTTGCAGAAAAGCACGTTCATGCCGCTCTTCATAGGACACTGAACGTGACAGTTGCTTTCAGAGGTGAGCATCTAGGCTCTATTACGTGTTCATTGAATGAGCAATTGCAATGCTTTCAGGCATTTCTTGTTATTCCTGCTCCAGCAGAAGGGTGGCCTTGCCCCCCTGTAACGTCAGCTGCCCTTACAAAGAGTTTAAGCTGATCTGTTTGCCTGTGAATGAGAATAGCGGATGCGGGGACACGAGGATGTCCCAGGGATGGTAACCTTCAAGAGAAAGGAGGGGAAACTGGCAGCAGCAGTCTGCTTCAGGGACACATCCCGGGCAGGATAAATCTGCCAGCGTCCCCTTTGCACCATTTGCAGGTGAAAAAAAGAGACCTTGGAAGAATTCAGTACTTGACCCAGGTGATCTGGTGAACCATGGAGAGAGCCAAAATTGAAATGCAGGAGTCTTCACTTAAGCCCAGCTTTAAACAGCGATTTTAACCTTGTTTCTGTGCTCAGCTACATCTACGCAGTTTTAGCTTGCCTTTTTCATATACAGCAGCTCTTTCACAAAGCAAGCAGCACACAGGTTTACTGAAAGAGGAGACAGATCAAATTTAGTGCTGTTGGGCCTTCACAGAGGCTCCCTCTACCTGCATAAAACACCACTGACTCCAAGAGGTCTACAGTCAGATCTGCAAGTCTATCTCCTCAGATGTGACAGAAAGATCTGTGATTTCATTTGTTCTCAAATCAGAATTGTAATGCTTTGGTAGTTTTAATGGGAGGAACAGATGAGCAGAATTAGCTTTCATTACAGACAGTGTGGATTCGTTTGCTACTAAGAAATGAAAAAAGATGTATTTACAGTAAAGGGTAAATAAAGTCATCAATCTCTGTTCCTAGTATTTTAAAATGTCTAGATATGTAGATAACTATTGGCACAAATGTGGAAGGCTAGGAACAAGGCAACTGGGAAACACACGAACAATAATCATTACTTAGGACCTTAGAAAATTGGCTATCACTTACCTAAATTAGAGCTATAAGTCACTTCTGCTAGATGAGAATCTGCTATGTCTCATTTGCAGCATTTACATCATAGATTAATCATTGTTTAATCAAAATGTGGCACGAACACTTCTTTTGGGATCTTATCTTTCACGTTTGATACCAAGAAACTTTGTTTAGAGCTATTCTACATAGTTTGTGCAACCACTTTCCAGTGGGTGGGCGAGGAGGGTATGGAGTTCAAGTAAAGGTTTGAGAATGGTCACTGAAAAAACCAAAACCATCTCCCTGTTCTGCCAGTTCATGCTTTTACTGTATTTTCAGAGCTGTTAATCTCCTTCACAGCTGGTAAGTGAGCCTACCAGGGGAGGTGCCTCGCTGGACCTGCTGTTTACAAACAGAGAAGGACTGGTGGGAGATGTGGTGGTCGGAGGCCGTCTTGGGCTTAGCGACCATGAAATGGTAGAATTCTCCATTCTTGGTGAAGTAAGGAGGGGGGGCAGCAAAACCGCAACCATGGACTTCCGGAGGGCGGACTTTGGCCTGTTCGGGACGCTGGTTGAGAGAGTCCCTTGGCAGACAGTCCTGAAGGGCAGAGGGGTCCAGGAAGGCTGGACGTTCTTCAAGAAGACTTAAAGGCGCAGG